AGGGAATCCTCTTTTGTTCATCATGCAACACCTCGTTTTTCCAAGAAAATGATTTTTGCTTTAAGAAAATTCTCAGCGTAGTGGCTTTTTTGCTGTTCTTTTATACAGTTAGCCTGTTTCATGTTCAAGGAATGCAAAATTCAGTGTCCCTAAATCATATTAACATGAAACAATTAGAATGAGACAATGATAAAAATAAACTTGGGGTCAGCTGAAAGATCGATTGGAAGGAAGAAGTGTTCAATTATTTTATATACATATATGTTATATGTCATATAAAAAAGGATTCATTTGTTATATATTTGTTAAGAAACGATTTTATAAATACTACTATGGGTTTTCTTCGCTAGGCAAGATGGAGTGCAAATGGACAGTCGATGGATGGTAATACGCAGGAGAGTCAAACGTGTCTTCGTTTGAGGAACAGTGTCTACCTTGGAATGCATTCGGTTTGGTAGAGATGTTGAAACTGGGAGTGTCCCAGAACGCCATGGGAGAGAGTCACAACTATTGCCGCAAATTTGACAAATCGAACTTGGGGCCATCCTGCATCGTAGATCGAGTTGAGACCAAACTAAGCTTGTGTGCCATCCCGTTCTGCCCCATCCCCAACATCAACTGACTCTGTGGTCCAACTTTCTGAGTTACTATGGAGAAGATGCATAAAGTTTCTTTGAGTGTTGTCTCGTAATGCACATAAAAATCACCTATCCCAAGCGTATGCGCCAAATGTGTCCAAATGTATTGTAAAGTTGTTGCAAAGAAAAAGAGGTATTGTACTGTAATTACAGAATAGAAATTCAATATTAGTGCAGGGTCGATTTTTGTTGTCTCTAGCACGATAAAGATGGATGGGTATATGTGGGGATGGTTTCTACTTTCCATTTCGGATTGAATATTTCATATAGACTTCTATGACTCATCATCCCCAAACAAAATGGAATGCACTTGGACAGCCGAAAAATAGGAAAGAAAAACGTGTCCGCGTTGGAAGAACCGTGTCTGCCTTAGAGTTTATCTGGTCTGGACGAGAAACGCTGGATTGAATACCCCGGATACGTCAAACCTAACAATGGGCAACACTAACTTAACCTTACATAACCTTACTTAACCCTTACCTAACCCTCACATAACCCTCACATAACCCTCACCTAACACTAACCAATCATTACTTTTTCTAATTGTTCAGATTTGAAATATATATATATATATATATAAAGGACAGGACTCCACTCTGACAACACGCGAGATTTCCATCAAACGCGGGATCTTCCAGAAAGACACGCTATCTCCTCTACTCTTCTGTCTGGCTCTCAACCCTCTCTGTACTGAGCTAGCTCGGACTGCTTGTGGTTATTACGTAGGAAAGGGGAAGAATGCAGACCATTGCATGAACCACCTTCTCTAATGTGGCACTGACAGACGGACTTAAGCCGGGATTGCCTCTGGGGCATTAGGTACAGTCCATCTGTTTAATTCCATAGCCGTAGCACCTGACAGTAGAAACTTTCTGGGTAGGGTTTGTTTGATCAGACTTGCGGCCTCGACCCCCTGATGACGCAGGCTGCTTGACAAATTTCTAGGATGAGATCCGTCGCTGTTCATTCTCTATTTAACTTCCTTAAGCCTTGCCCCATATCTGCAGGCTGTTTTGCCATAGATTAATTGTTATATGTCCTCTTCGTCTAGGCTGGGAGCCGGCCTTAACCTGCCTGTTGCCTTGGGTGGCTATTGCTAGGGAAGGCGTCACTGTTTTACTTGAATACTATCTATGTGCACGCCTCAAATGAAAGCGGTTTTCACTTCCCATTTGGGTATTCGCTAATTAAGCCAACCTTATTAACTTACTTTACCTTACCTATATATATATATATATTAATATGAATCTCCTGACCATGCATCACACCCACCATCCGAAGGCTGCCGTTGAGAGACTCTACCTTCCGAGTTGCGAGGGAGGGAGGGGACTGATCGAACTCGAGCCCCTCTATAAGCGGACGACGTGCGAAGTCGCCAGATACATTACACATTTTTCCTGAACTCATCGTCTTAGTAGGCACCTGTATGCCAGGTTTCAGCTTTCCATATCTCTCCGTTTTACTCAAGCAAAATTAATGTTATGGATGGGGAATGAGTAACGGGACATGGAAGGCCAAATGAAGACAAAAGAAAGCCACGTAATGGCCGGAAATTGAACCCGGACCTCCTGATTGCCGGTCAGATATGCTACTACTACACCACCGAACCAGGGAAATCCAGTTGATTCTCTGAATGCCATCCTCATCTGTCACAAAATATATTTAAGAAAAACGTTTCCCCCAAAATTAGTATTCCCAGGGCATGTACCTCCAAAGTCGGATTTTTTCTGAACTCTGTATCCCAAAAGGTACATGTGTACCAAGTTTCAGATGTCTAACCTTTCTAGAACATGGTTAGAATTAGCTTCAGTCAGTCCGTCAGTCACGATCGTCTATATACAGTATATTATGTATTCACCATTTAAAACGTTTAGCTTGCAAATTGGAAGATCCCAAATTCGTAACAATTACCATGTGTGGAGCATGGTGCTGAGATCTTATTTCTCCGAGAACCCATCCTGCTATACGTTAGCCCCATCAGACAATTGATCTGTGTGCAGGCAGTGATCAGTGATTTCCTCATAACAGTATCTTTCGTGAGTAAATATTGCAATTTTGGCGAGGTCGTTGTACTAGACTTAGCTCACAATTGCTGGAGTCTGCTTTCTCAGTGTACATTAGTTTGTGGTTGTCATTTTTGCCAAACTCATTCACACTCATTTTTATTTGTTTCTGCTTAATACAGCCCTTTGCCTAACGGACTACCCGAACATCGAGAACGCAGACAGAGTGTTCGAGGAGTGGGATGGCAAGTATCCAGTCCCGCCTGGTGGTAAGGTTTTATTCACTTGCAAACACTTGCAAGGGTTCACCGATGGATCCAAGTTCCACGAGGCCACTTGTTCCAAAGTGAAACCTGATGCTTGGTGCACGACGTTCAATAAAGAAGATTCTCTCCGTTGCCCACCTTCATGTAAGAATTCAGCCCAGACATGTCATTAAAAAGAACAAGTTGGGCAAGCCCAGTCCTGTAGTGGGCCTCCTTTCAGTTAAGGAAACCCTCATTTTGCCGCCTAATTGCTCTCTTTCCGGTCTTTCATCAAAAACCATCACCATACCATATCCACCATAAATACCTCATTTATCATTTATATTTGGTAAAGATAGACTAACAGTGCCCATGAAACAATGATGGGACGCAGGAGGGCTGTGCGTGGTTTGATCCATCCGCCACAAAGGTTGGTAGGGAACTGACAGCTCTGGATGCTGACACGGCGCCGCGCTCAAAGCCTGGATCGTAGGCGCATGCGCATTGTGATCTCCATCCTGAAGAGCTCATAAGTACCCAAGGCTTCCCTTTCGCTGCCAAATTTCAAATAAAAAATTTGCAATAAGCATGCCAATTTTGGTTCAAATTCACCACAAAACGAACTCAGCCTGTATCTTGTTCATATCCCGCTGGCCAATTTTAGCATTGGTAAAACCATTATTCTGTTTAGTTATCGTTGGAAAACCAAAGTGTGACACACTGACACACGGACACACGGACGGACAGGACGGGACTATAAGTGGTCTCTTTCCTTTCAGGAACGGAGGCCCACTAGAGAGCGCTGGTAATGAGGTACTGGGGTGAAATTGTTGAACTTACTCTGTGCGTCTTAGCCCAAACTAATCAAATTCATTTATTACCAAAAATGGCATGTTTTAATGCGCCATTTGACTCTTTTATATTTGTAGAAAAAGAATGCATTTAATTTGGTTCTGGAAAGCATGTCATGAGCGAGTCGAGTGATATATTTAACTAGATCTTTTCACGCATGTCAGTTGAAACGTGTCCACTTACAAGAACTTCTTCGTGGTGTCACCCGATACATTGGCTTATGTCACTCGCAGTAATATGTGCAAAACGAAACGCTTAATTTTTTAAATGCCTACAACAAATCAATTCGAGTCACCTAGACGATGACCAATTTATTCGATTCATTTGACCGTTTACATTTTCAGTGCACGCTATGCTCGCGGAGGATATGGACATAATCAATCCTACCGAAATGGAACTAGGACTAAGCATGTAATACAGTTGTCCCATAGCGTCTCTTTGCACGGTACTGTGCGTCCTTCCCCTCTGGGTTCCCTCCATGCTGAAAAGGCCATGTATCCAGAAAAGATTTCTCGCCTTAACGAAGCAAGAGGACAAGCAGTCTACATTACCTCGCATTCAAATCCAAACAGCTTATGCGGCATCGATCCAATCAAGTCCAATCCTTGATCTAGGGGATTGTCGCAAATTCTCATTTCGCAGCATTGCTGAAATAAATAGATACAGAGTAGGATAACGCTCAACGTGGGTCATCATCATTCTGACCATCGATTACACTCAAGTCTCTATGGGGAATAGTTCGCATGTGTGAACTCATGTGATTTAATGTCCACATATACGAAGTACTCAATTCACGTTTCTATGCGTTTCATATTTGAATCACGTATCAACATGTGTTCACTTCGATTATCCACTTATGTGACTGATAACTTCATTCGCCACACCTGGATGACGCATGGTTCCAAACACTTACTCAGGAACTTCACAACCCACAATTGAAACCAGGAATCAGGTACGGATGACATGCAAACGCATACACATCACTCCTTTATGAAGCTGATTTATGTTGAAATCTGTAACTCCAACATTTCCAATAGTATATTTCCAAAGCTCGCTCTTGGCAATTCCAAATATTGTCCCCGGGTAGGCCAAATTTAAGTTGGTTTTAATAGACTTAATGAACAAAAATTATTCAAGCTCTGACGCTATTAGAGATTGGGGAGGACCTGGAAATGAATGGTAATAATCAGACTCTCCGTTCATCGATGCATTCTGCTCCATTTACTGTACGTGTAGCATCGTGCACGAGAGAGCACCCAAGAATGAAGAACGTGAACGTGAGACATGAGAATTGGGATGGGGAATACCCGGCACCTCCTGGGGCTAAAGTCCTCTACACCTGCCTCAATACTAGAGGATTCACCGATGGGTCCCCTCGGCACTATGCCACCTGCTCCTTCAGGGCTGATGACACCTGGGAAACCTCCCTTCAAGACAAAGATGTTCGATGTCAAAGTGAGTCTCATCTAATCGTACAGTGTATTTCCATCATAATAATGGCATGACATCAAACTATTAAAAATGCGTGACCACCCTTGATCTCGCACAAGAGTCATTACTCGAAGCTGTCCAAGTAATAATTACAGATGGTTTTATCTTGCCGTTCCTCTAAATCAAACCAGATCAACTCTGACTGGACTACGGTGAGCAAACAGTAAAATTTGCACTTCTAATCCAAAAGTATCCCACTGACAACTACTACTGACACCGGAACGAATAGGAGGGTCATTCCATCGAAAAGGTAACATCCAATTTCAGAAAAATGTCATTGCATGATTGAATAACACCCAACACTTTTCAATTTTCCGTATACGGAAAGTTTGAGGGAGTCCCTCGTATAACCAGTTGTAGGTGTTTTGCTGTTTGGGAAATGCAGTCATGCCAGAATGAAGTGGAATAAGCTGTATTGGTAGAATTGCTCGATGGAAAGAGGTCTAAGAAAATAAAAATTATTTTCCAAACTGCAACAAGGAAGTCAGTGTTGTTAGCATTGATGAAAAAAAAGTTCTTGAAAAATATTGCCACGATTATGAATCAGTATCAGAAAAATCTGAAAATTGTTTCGAACGCTTATTAGAAGGGAGAATCGGTTTCGGGCGGTTCATGGTACACCTTCTTGAATCCTCTCATAACAAATGGATAAACTTCATATTTTCTCTAGTAAATTCACGTATTCTCCAGAAACAGAAATATATACGTATCGTATATATCCCTCGTATATATGAGGGATATACAAGTTAGGTGCAAAATATGTGGCGACTGGGTTTATTGTACGCAAACGCTGAGCGTTACGGCACTATAAGTCTGTCACCTTTAAAGTAGTGACCTGCACACATTTCTGCACACATTTGCCAATGTCTGGAAGGTTTCTCGAAGCAGAACTGGAATCCATTTTTAGTGCCACCACCGTAGCTTTCTTCATCACTTCTGTGGAATAGAAACGTCGTCCTTTCAGGCGCTTATACAGTCTTGGGAAAAGGTAAACTTCGTGTTGTGAAAGGTCCGGGGAGTAGGGGGGTGGTAGGAAGATGCTACCAGAGTCTGTCAGGTAACAGCTACCTTTCAGAGATCTTTGCGCTTGTGCTCGTGAATGTGGATCTAATTCTAGTGTGCCCACATCGGTCGTCGTTTCCTCCGGAGACGCCGTAGCAAATCTACGTTCATTTATTTATTCACCGTTCTTCCCTCCGGAATTAACTCAATATGAAAAATACCGTCGGGGTCGAAGAACACATCCAACATCACCGTCCATGGACACTCGGCCATCTTGGAATCGTCGATACCACTCAAATTCTCCCGGACTTGAGATTGTCTTGTCCCCATACGCCTGTATCAACTTTCCAAAGGTATCTGCTGCCGTTTTACACAGTCTCTGGCAAAATTCACATTAGCACGCTGTTCGAAACGTGGCATCGTCACAAGATGAATGCACACCGCCGACTGACAGCTGAAGAGTTGCAAGTGGCGCAACCCAGTCATTCCCACGTGAGGTTAGGCACACGTGCCCTTGATATGCACCAAGTGTAAAACCGTAACAAAACTCAGCAAAATTTATTTCGATATGCAACACAGCGTTCGGTCACAGTGGCCCGAGTCTTGAAACGTTTTTAACCTCGTATATACATTTAGCTTACTTTGCTTTTGCTTTCCCTGAGAAAATATCGATTATGTATTAAAATGTCACCTTTTTGCTGCCTTTATGAAACTGTGTTTCTCCCATAGGAAACGGTAGATAATTTTTTTTTAACCACCTTATATACCTAGGTATCTATTTTCTTATTATCCCAACATGAATTTGTCCGCCACGTCATCACTTCCTTTGTCATTCAGAGTCACTAAATCGAAAACATTTATTGGAAAACCCTACCACCTCCAAAGTTATGGCCTTAGAATATTGTTCTTGAAAGTGGGACATACTCCCAAATAAAATATCCAGGAAATTAACGTTCCACATTTTGTTGTTCACTGATTCCGATCATTTTTCGCCAATCACTTTCAGCTTTTATGGAATTTCCTTAGGTGAATTGGTGTATCCGGATTGCAAATTCTCTCAAATGGGAAAGAAATACGTGGGATAATTGAATGTAACAGAGACAGGAAAACCATGCCTCAGATGGGACTCACCACGACTGGCAACAACCTACAATTCCAATCCTTCCGATGGCTTCGTGGATGCCATGTTTTATGCCGAGCATGTCTTGAACCAGGATCTATCTTTACATGAAAACTTCTGCCGGAACCCAACATTTAAAGACAGACCCTGGTGCTTCGTCGACGATGGCACCATCCATTCCGAATATTGTCAGGTTCCCCTATGCGACGACATGGGTAAGGAGGCACAACTGTATTGTTTTATAAGGGGGTTTGTGTGAGAGTGAAAGAGAATCAACTCCTCTCAAAGCAAAGTTAATTCACTCCCGTCCCTATTCCGAATCCTCGGTTCCTCTGATATTGCCGTATTATTTAGCAAAGAACGTGCTTTGTATAAGCTGTCCAAGCGGGACATAGTAAGTCAACAGTCCAAAAAATGATGCAAGTAATCCGTAAAAAAACCCAACGGTTTCGAGCGCTTTCGCCAGGAGAGGATTAGTGCAACTCCTTGACAAATGACCGGGAAATATTGATTTCATGACGAATAAATTGCGTACGACATGGAAACGACCATACATGGCGAAATATTCAATAACTAATTTGGTTCCAACCTCAATCCAAAGACAAAGGGATCTCAACTATGTGCAACTAATTACTCCCATCAGAAAAGCTATTAATACCGCTGGAGTGCTCTATTCCGTCCATTTTTCCATATTTTTTAGCTCTTTCGATTCAAATCACTATGAAATACTACAATGATACCGTGTGGTGGATTGAACGAATTGGAGCATAGCATGCCATGAAAGAATGCCACGAAATAATACATGCAAGAATGTAGTTATTGTGGATGGGTTACAACAAACTCCAAGGGTGGTGAAACATGTGAAAACAACTGGTACAGGGACGAATATGAGTGAGACGGTTAACTTCTATTGAGCTCATTAGCATTCTACATGCGTGGCATACATAATGCGCATGAACTACTTGCTTTGAGAAATGGAGCTGCCTCAAATTAGTCCTTCACCACACGATTTCTTGCTCATATTTTGTGCAATGTGTAAATTATTGATACGTCAAAGAAGACATGGACATTTCTATGGCATTAATTCTTCCAATAGGTCTAATGTGAACTGCAGAGAGAAGTGTTTCATAGTGGATTATCCCGTACATTGGTTAATGAATAACGGAAAATAACTTGATGATCGCTCATGTATTCGTATGCATTTATTCATGGCTCCATTCAGATAACTGATTTTCATGAAGTCGTTTCATTCTTAAGAAAAAGCTAATTCAATTTACTCGTTGTTGAGGGACTCTGCCATTGTAGTAAGATTGACCTTAAAGCATGGTGCTGCCGAATTTGTGGATATGTAATTATCTGAACAATATTTCATTTTTGAGGGATTGTTAAATAACAAAACAGTCCCAGAGCTTCTCTGAGAAATGCCTCCCAGAAGGTTTGGAAGAAACTCGAAAACGCCTTTGGAGTTGATCCGTATTTTATTAAGGAAGTTATGATGCAATTCAGAATGTCGAAAAGTCGAATGGGAAACACGCCTTTTACTGACTTGGTGGTGTTTTTTCTCTAATATTTTTCATGAAACATGATGCATGAAATCCAAGTGTCAAGAATTTCGTATGATTACTTTTGTGTTTTCTGCACGAAACATAAAAATCAAGTGAATGGGCAAAATCTTGGAAAGAATACGATGTACGTATTGAAGAGTGGCAGTAAGGAGATGAAGAAAATGAATTCTCGTTTGAGATTCTGCTCCTTGCTAATGATGCCTAAATATATCCAGAGGATTGTGTCACAAAGAGACCTCAAGTCGACTCTAGTTGTCATAATCGCCCTCAAAGATGTTCATTGCTCACATTTTTGTCATGCCGTCTTTTGTTGTACGTTCAGGAAAACTAGAATGCAAATTGACGCAGAAGGGAGGGGAATATGTGGGAGTGAAGAACAAGAGCATTTCCCGTTTTCCGTGCCTTCCGTGGTTGGAATCGACACACTTCCTGAAGGATCGGATCTATAATGATAGGCGCCCACCTTTTCCGGATCTCCTCAGTGACACTCACAACTACTGTCGCAACCCCAATGCAAAGCCAGGTGGTCCCTGGTGCTATATTCAGGATTCTGGAGAGTCCGGCATAGAATGGGAATATTGTGATGTGCCTTTTTGTGCATTGGAATATCCGAATATTGCATGCGACCCACGGAATCAGTGCGAATCAGGTAAGTTGTTTCAACAAATATTAAGGAATTTGGCTCCCACTTTTTTCTAGTTAATGAATCTGAGATCATAATGTTAGGCTGTGCTGTGGAATTCCAATTTTTTAAATCTGTTTTACTGGTTTGAATTATACATGAACACGAAATACTCTTTTTTTGGTAAATTTCATCGAGAATGCTCAATCCTACTTGGTTGTGTTTTCATGCGAAGAATATGGCGTCTCAATGTTAAATAGCCCGGTAAGCCTTGATGGTAACAATAGAGGAATTTCTTTCTAATTTAGAATTGTATAAAAGGCCAAACAGGTGAAGTAGTGCATCTTTTTAATACTTAAGGTGAAGTTAGTTGGGGTCTCTCTTTTCATCCTTTACTGCTTGCTGCCGCCTCCGCGAAAACTATAGAGGGATAAATTGCAGTTTCTCTTCATCTCTCTAAATCATCTGAGTTAGCTCATTGCCTCTCAAAAAGGTTGGAAAATGCAAAGTCTCCGAAATTAATAGTTTGGCCAATGTGTGGTTTTAGGTTCCCATAACTTTTAATTCTGTGTGGGTGCTGAAAATGTTTCAATCTGGATTCGAAATACTTCAAGAAGATAAGCAAATCTTCGAAATCCCATTTCCAGAGTTGTCAGCGGCTTCCAGAGAAACACTTTCTATCTTTATTCCCATTATACAATAGAATACCTTGAGGAAACCAAAATCTAGTCCTACATATTGGCTTTGGATTTCCTAGGGGTGACAACGATATGGTACCATTTAGGTACATCTCCTCAGCTCAAAGCTTCCTTCATCACTACGATTAGAACTGAACATGGAAAACCTGTAAGTTTCTTAAGCCCAAAACCTAAACTTTCAAGGTACATCAAACAAATTTAAAATGTCGACCCCCTTGAATCGAAATTTCGCGTGATAATTATTGTTTGAGACCACAAGAGCCACTTTTAAATACTCAACCTTCATCAGCGTGGACTTCATCAGTATGGTCATTTACGATTTCGATGGGTTTCTTCAGTGGCTTTATTTATGGCATCGTTCCACACGCAACTTTGAAATTAGTTTCATTCTCTTTCGTAGCCTCCGTTCTAAACACTGATTTTAAATTCTCGGTGATGCTACATGATGATGCTCATCGTTTGCCATCGGCAAACGGATTTGAAATTTTTTATGATTAACACCAACATATATTGGACGCAGACTAAACTATAAACAATTGTATATGAAATTCTCTGCAGAGACGAAAAATAACGTACAACTAGAGTTCGGTGATATTGGACTACATCTGAAATTAAAGTTAAATTGGTGAGTTGAGCTGCCATTAAATTGAGTTCATGACCAGAGTTTTGTCCCTTCGATTTCCTCTCTAGACATTTGCTTCTAGCACTTCTTCTTATACATGCTCTTTTACGTAATGCATGAGAAGAGTGATTTCTTTTGAAATGCCAACGAGACTCATGTCTCGCCTACCAAAGCCCTTATTATATCATATATATTATAATATATTTATATAAAGTTGGTAACATGCAATTAAAGTAGTCAACTTCTTCTGGATTTATTAAAAGTTGAATTAAAGGAATACGTCACCCAAGAAATTGCAATGACTACAGTAAAAAAAAACTGCATACATTTGGAAACGTAACGATTTAACCTCCTACTGGTTTCATTTAGCGCATATATGATTTATACGACTACTAATGGCCATTGAACTCTGGAACATCTTTCGGAAATTAAAGTAACGGTGGCAGCATGCATCTTCGTTGGAATGAATTGAAATGGATTGGATATATAGACATTCGTTTGGTAGGAGCCATCAAACAGGGGCTGGAGACACGTTTACTCGAATCCATAACCAAATTAACACTGTTTCATCACGGAATGCAATTCTATGAATGCTTTCGGCAGGTAGTGCTGACGCGAAGTAGCTGAAAGTAGGAACATGGAAAAAGACGATTCACTGAAATTTTAAAATAAACTTTCAAGTGGAGCAGATGGGATTGCATTTTTCTTTTAGCATTAACGCACCCAATACTGGAAATAGCATCTTTAAACATCGCTCTCTACTATCACTTACGATTGAGAAAAAATGTTTTCCCTTGATTTACAGAGAAAGATGATGTCCCAAGCATATATCCGGAATGTCGGAAGACAGAAATGGGAAATGAATATAAGGGCATCAAAAACCGAACGGAAACCGGGAATAAATGTCTGCCTTGGGGTAATCCACTAATCAAGAAAGCCTTGGAAAATATACTGCTCTCCCACATCTCTGCTGAAGACCGCTTCAAAGAAAAGTTTCAGGTTTTGGATGGCATGGGTCCATGGACAGAAGAGGAAGCAAACTATTGCCGGAATCCAGGGTTTAGAAAACGGCCGTGGTGCTTCGTCTCCAATGATCTGAAATGGGAATACTGCCACATCCCGTTCTGTCCTAATCGTAAAGGTTTGCGAAATTGTCACTGGAGATCGTCTAACCTCATATCAACCATCGAAATCCAAAACCTAGCGAACGAGCTCACGACGCTTGAAGGCGAATATATAATAATTAACAATGGACTAATTAAATTATGCATTATGTCAAATGCTAATACTTTCGATTCCAACGTTAGCTTTTAATTTGATCAATAAATTAAAAAAGAAAATCTTATTCGTGGATTCACAATTTAAGCATTTAAATCCAGTCATCTTAGTTCCGTAAATCACTAGCTAACTTGTTACAATCCACTTCACGCTCTCAACACAAACTAGCGAGTCTTTATATTCCACGAGCGAGTTTGTTTGCCCTTCGGGAAAACAAATTCGCTAGTGAAATATATGTCTAATATATGTCACTATGAAATATATGTCGCTATGTCTGCCCCTTCGGCGCTCCAGTGTCCATGTTAACGATTCATGCATTAATTTATTTTAAAAATGGCAAAAACGTATTAAAAGTATGTGCCTGTCAAAATGTGTAGCGAGAGAGAACGAAACGATATTTCCATCGAAATAATTACCCCAATTATTTCCTATGTATTTCCTCCTGCAATCTGATCTGCTTGGTCTTTTTCTTACTGCAAACATATATTTCGAAAAGCCAATGCCGTCTATTACTGTGCCCTGAAGGTATGCACCACGAAACTTGACTTTTTGCTAAACTTACCTTGACCTCATTTATTAGAGTCCCAGGTTTCAGTTTTCTGCCCAATGCGGTAGGACAAAAAAAGTATTGGAAAACTTTTGAAAACTAAAAGCAGGGCATGCATACGAAACTCGAAAATTTTCCTTAACTGTGTGTCTCAATAGGCACGACCATGCCAAGTTTCAGCTTTCCATGTCTCTCTTAGATTGAAGTAAATTTGTATCGTTGAAAACATCTCCCCAACAATGAGTGCCCCCATGGCATGTACCTCCAAAACCAGATTGATTTGGAACAATGCATCCCAAAAGGTATACGTGTACCAAGTTTCAGATTTCTGCCTCATCTAGAACTTGGGTAGAATTAGCGTCACTCACTCAGTCGCTCACGGTCGTCACGAATTTGTTTTCCCTTTGTGCAAACAAACTCGCTATGAACGCGCCTTCGGCACGGTTCCCTATACAAGTGATTCATATATTTGAAACATCCCACTTCGATTCTAATAACTGCAAATTGAGTGAAACTCCTTGGATCATTAGGATTTTTTAATCATCAGTTTAAGTTACTCCTGCTTTTGTGAAATGATTTCGAATTTCATGTTAGGAACATGAATCAAACAGATTATTCAAGGCCCCAGAACTGTCACTTTAGAGTTCATTCTCAATACGGCGCCTTCGATAGGAAGACTACAAATTGTGCTACTGAAACTCAGTAGCACAATTCATTTTCTCATTTTCCCCCTAAACAAACTTAAGAAAAAAAGAAAAGTATGGTGGCAAAAAATTGAGAACATTTTTTGCAACCGAAATGTATGCCCCGGGGGTGGGTACGACAAAGTGAAGATTTTCTATAAATTATCATGTCATTAACCTCGTTCACAATCATATTAAGCTATTCATATTTTTTTCTTTGAATGAAGACAAGATGAAAGTATAAAAAATGTATGTGTGAAAAATGTGCTCCCAGGGCATACAATTGAAAATTAAATTTTTCCTGGAACTATGCACACCAAATTTTATTTTCAAGTCTATTTTTAACTCCCTATGTCTTTGCTTTGGCTGAAGTGAAATAAATTATTTTAAAATGTCATCCCGCATCCATGCACCCTGATACATACCTGCATATACATGCACTCATAACTTATTTTCTAAGTCACTCAAAAGTGTTAAAGTCTGTGCCTGTCAAAATGGGTGCGGAGAGAGAACGAACTCATATTTTCATCGAAATAGTTGCACCGATTTTTTTAAGTTGCAATTTTCTTTAATATTCTCTTACATAGGATCAAAAAAGGATTCTTAAAAATACGTCTATTGTAAAAATAAATTACTGATGGGTTTCACAAAGAAATTAAACTTTTTACTAAAATCAGCACTGGGAGAAGTACGTGCTTACCAAGGTTCAGTCTTACCCGTTTGCTCTTTTTGCTGGAGCAAAAAAATTTTTCGGAGCCCCGACGCAGCCAATAACTGTGCGCTTAAGACATTCACCACAAACTTATATTGCTTCTGAATTCAACATGTCCTCAGTTATTGCTGCATCATGTTTCAGTTTTCTATTTCTTCCCAAGGCGATATAACAAAAAAGTTTTTTGAAAACGTGACACACAGAAATATGCCCACAGAAGACGCAACTGAAATTCGGCATTTTTTCTTAACTCAGAGTCTCAGTAGGTATGTCCATGTCTAGTTTCAGCTTTCCATGTTCATTCGTTCAACTGCAGCGCCTTCTCGAAAATAGAAACGACCAGTAACGCCTTCCATATCAAGACCGTAAGAACCACCTTTCACTGAGCGAAATTGAGTTTACGCATTCTTCCCACGAAACTAATAAGCTCCAGTATGGCGGTCACACAGTTTACTGGTGGAGCATTACACCTATTTTTTAATCACCCTCAATCATCCGGTCAACAACAGCGCCCTCTATCGGGATGCAGAGCCATCTTGCGGCAATGAAAAAAACCCACTTAGACTCATGAACCTCTCTGTCCAGTATCCACTGGATCCGACTGTTCCTTGAAAAGTTATAGTCGAAAAGTTCCTTGAATTATGAGACGGTGGAGCACAGGCAATCACCTCAGTTGAGGTGAAATGATCCACCTTTAAGCACCTTTAATTCACCACTAAATAGGCATCGCACGACTTGGGCAGGGGTGCTGAAAAAAGCTAGCAAGCATTTCAGCACCTTTTAACTGTCCAATATCGATCGCGTATTGAAATTATTTATTTTTTGCTGCCTGCGTGAAACGGTGGAAACAGTGTACCGTTTTTCCATGGAAAACTATAGAACGTTATTTTTTTTACCACCCATATATATTATCACTACGTTACACTCGACCTAAATCGCTCCTCACCATGCATTCATCGACTCAACATCTCGTCGACATCTATCTGGTTATTACATAATAAAAAAAGTCAATTGATGTTTTATGACATGACAGACAGTGAACTGCAAGGTGACCGATCATGGAATGGAGTATGCGGGGAAAACGAACATGACGGTGGATGGGAAGAAGTGTCAAAACTGGCTGAGCCAGACTCCTAACAAGCATTCCATGATCTTTTCTTTACCATATTTCCCTGATCATGGCGTGGACAGTCGTCACAACTACTGTCGTAATCCAAACAGGGATGGCAGTGGGCCCTGGTGTTACACTGAGGAAGACATTGGTCGCCAGCATTGTGACATTCCTTTTTGTTGGGAAATGTATCAGAGATCTGCAGTGAAAGGTATGCATTGAGGTTTCTTCATTTCGATGCCTATTCATTATACCACTTCAAGAAAATCCTGAGCAGTAAGGGTATCCCCGGTAGAGAAATGGAAAATCGAACGGTATCCTGATCCCCATTCAAAGCGGCTCTACACGCAGCTCTCAATCTCGAATGTCTAAGTAATGAGTGAAATGAGACGTGGTCGTAGAGAATGTGGAGGACTGGAGTCAAATAGGGCCAGAGTATCAAGAGAATTGGTATTTGTTCAGGCAAACACCTCAAAATCCAGCCTGCTTTTCTTAGGTTCTCTTTTTTTGGAAATATAACTTCTGGACCCCTTCGAGAGACAAATTTTTACAAGGGATCGCATGATGTAAAAAAGAGACCCCATTTGAGAACAGCTCATATGAAATAATCTAGATACAACCATTACTTGTTTTGCATGAAACGATTTTATAAGCTCAATGTAGGCAATAAAATAGTGAAAGGTCATTAAGTTCCTTTGAGAGCCCCATGAAGCACATTGGAGATTTACTTATTGGAGATTTACTTACATATATTCTGTCAGGTTCAGTGGTGGAGGGATATCCAGAGTGCCGACAGACTGAAAATGGGAAGGAATACATAGGGACAATGAGGAAGACGGTGACCGGAAGGACTTGTGTCCGTTGGGATTCCATACTCGACGAAGTGAAGTTCAATAAAGACACAGGCAATACTAATGATTTTGAAATGAAGCTTCCCTCGACTCACCAGAACTTTTGCAGAAATCCGACATCGCTGGAGCGACCCTGGTGCTTTCTCGCTGACACAAATATCACATGGGAATTCTGTGACATCCCCCTCCGTCCCAACTATCCCAGTGAGCAAACCCGGACCCACGCATATTTTCAATGAGTCAAAACTGTTTCGACATTTTTTTGTGACGTACAATTGCTATCCGCGTATACTCAGTAATGAAAAAAATGCAATGAAAGGGAAATTATCCCTATTGCGCCCATGGTAGGGCGCAGTAGGGACATGGAGATGCAGCAGGGATTCGTTCTTTACCAATTATAATCATGACAATCCAAGTTAAAGTCTTAAAATAAGTTTTATCTTTATCAAGGACGTAACGCCCCAAATTTGTTCATCATGCAGGATTTCGTATTTTTTTAAAATAAATTTTCTTTTGCTTTTAAAAGAATCAGGGGAAACATAGAGATGCAAATACGACTCCGTTCCCCGCCAATTAAAGGCATGCCAATCCAAGTTAAAATAATAAAAACCGTATTTTCTAAAGGAATTTGCTCACTTTTGGCCCTTACACCGATTTCAAGGATATACTATATGTAGACCAGCGAAACTGTTTGACCGAAGGGCAAACAAACAAGCCATGGTCGCGCCTTCGGAGCTCTATTAACTTGGATGGTGATTAATTCATTCATTTTTTGGCGAAATGGGAAAGACGCATTAAAAATACGTCCTCATTGAAATACGTGACATATGGGGTCGAAAGTCTTGATTTTCATCAAAATCATTACTTCTATGATTCCATGGGTGCCTAACTTGAAATATTTTCTGTGTCCCTTTTTGTAAGGGTGGAGAATACATTTTTAAATATGATACTGCCCTCCAATAATCTACGCTAAGGAGACATATTCAAAAAGTAGGATTTCTCCTGTACTCAGCCATTAAGCAGGTACTTCTGAGGGAAGTTTCAATGTTCTGTCACTGTTTCTTTGGATCAAAAACATTCAGGAAAATGGGACTGAAACAATTGCCCTGATGGGTTTTAACGAATTTTTTTTTCCTTTTGAAATATAGACTCAAGGAACTCCATGCCACCTACCTCATACTTTTCCCCTTTATTTTAGCAGAAAAAAATTATTTGGAAAAGCGACCAACCCAAAAGCTGTGCTCTGAGGAGACGCACAAAAAGTTGAAATTTTCCTTAAATCAAGTTCACGTCCGTTAGGCGTGCGACAGCTTCTTTTCTATTTCTGCCCGATTCGGTAGGATATGAACAATTATTTTAATATTTAACGTCCTCAAGAAATATGAACTCCAAAACTATTTTGAAAATTTGACCTTTGACATTTGAGCTTAGTGCGTCAACGGTCACGTTCTTGCCAAGTCTCAGCGTTCCGTGTGTTTCCGTTTGATTGAAGCAAAGAGAACTATTGGAAAATATGTTCCCCGAGAGGTGTGCACCTATCACATCACAAAAGAACTTTTCCTGAACTCAGCATGCGAATAGCTACTTATGTCAGTCAGTCGGTCACGATCGTCTATATATAATACTAGCGAGTTTGTTTGCCCTGCGGGCAAACAAACTCGCTATGATCGCGCCTTCGGCGCTCTATTACCTTGGATAGTGATTATTTCATTTATTCTTTTCAAAATGGCAAACATGTATTTGAAGTACGTCCCCATTGAAATACGTGACATATGGAGTGGAAAGTCTTGATTTTTTTTAATCAAAATCATTACCTCTATGCTTATATGTGTGGCTAACCTGAAATCTTTCCTTGTGTCCCTTTTTCTAAGGGTGGAGAATACATTTTGAAATACTTCCCTCTAATAATCGACGCTAAGGAGACATTTCAAAATTAGGATTTTTCCTCTACTCAGCCATCAAATAGGTACTTCTGAAAGTAGTTTAAATTTTCTG